ATGCTGGTCCTTTGGGGGAATATAGGTTATTTTTCATAAGGCTGTAACAAGTGCGAAAGTGGCTGGAAATGTTTTCTGTCATGCTGGGAAACTAGTGAGGTGTCCTCTCCCCTCCCCAGGAAAAAGTGCTGGTAAAATTTGGCGGAGGGGAGAAGGAGAGGTGCTGGGAAAAGCAGGGGTTGTGCTGCTGGATTGCCTTTGTGTCTCTGTAAATAGACATGTCAGTTCCCAAAGTAATACAAGTAGTGTCTGATAACTCAATCCCAGATGACAAATAGAGAATGGAGCAGATTTTCAGGACTGTAACAGTGGGAGGATTTCTCTTTTGAAGCGGAGAGGGGGAAAAAGAAAAAAAGGTTGGTACCTCCTGAGGAGGTTCTTCCCCGGCGCGTTATTGTGAAGCGGAGCGTTCGGATGGAATCCGGAGACATAAACCCATATTTATTTATTTTTACACCTGACCGGGGAAAGATAAACAAAGGAGAGTTTAACAGCTCTTTAATGAATTCCTCATGCTTTTTATTTTGCAATCCCAATGATTCATTTGGCAAGCCTTGCAGGACCGGATTATTATCAGCATTGTTTAAAGCCATGCTAATTAGGAGATGTGTTTAGCAAACAGTGGTATTGTAGACACCTGTACCAAAGTTCTCGCGTGCATTTTAATTGCATCACTGCTATCATTTTTAGCATTTAGTCACTGTAATACAGATCTGGGTCTCAGTTCGTGGACTCAACCGAGTATTTATTACAAGTGTGGGTTCTCTGGGTGCACAGAGCAGCCCTGCTCCTAATGCATTAAATGTGTTTTCTCAAAAAGGAGAGGGAGTATTTTTTCTTTTTTTATTTTTATTTTCCTGTGGGGATTCAAAGAAAAAGCGGTGCTGTCCAAGAAGAGTGGGAAAAACACAATTTTGAGGAGGAAGCTTGCTGTGACTGGATAGCTCTTTGACTTTAATCAATACCTTGCTTGAACACTGTGTGTTTTTGTAGCCTCTTCTAATTGAAAATAAAATTCTACTTTCCCCTTCTAAACTCCATCTCGCTTCTCTCGCTGTTTGTCAAGTTTTATGTTTTGAAATCCTCGGTGATGGAAAAAAAAAAAATGGGTGGAGTGTATTATTAGTCACAATATTTTCAACATGCGGTGAGGAATTGCTGCTTTGAGGTGTTTTTTGGGAGCCGACAGGGAGAGGAGCTGCCCTGTGTGGTGGAGGGAGAACTAGGGGACAGGATTTTGGGGGGGGGGTGCTCCTGAACACGCGTTGCTGAAGAATACTCTGTGGTTTGCTACGTTCGTGAGATAAGTGCAACTGAAATAGAAAACGAGTCTTTTGGTTTTGATGCAGCGTGTCCAGGAGGGGGAAACTCACTCACAGCGAAACTTCTCTCGCGGTTGTTTTCATAGGCTGCATGTTCGCCTCGGTGGAACCGAGTCAGTTTTAGTGTGGGACCAGAAACGGGGCATTCGAGTAACTCTTAGGGCTGAGGTGTTTTATCCCTGTGCTTTAAATGCTGCTTCGTTCTGGAGCGTGTAGGACTGAGCCTCTCTGAAAACATGACCTGTACTCGGGGTTCTTGGAGGCTGGAGAAAATGGGCCACTTTCTCCCCGTGGTCTTTGTTTTCTGGGACAGTTGTACAACAGTGGAAATGTTCTTCGCAAGAGGATTTTTTTTTTTTTTAAATTTTAATATCTGGAAGTGCTTAGAGGAAAATCAGTTTAGCACCCAACCCCCCCCCCCACCCCAGCAGCCCCTGCTGTCAAAAGGAAAAATGCCTCATGTTTGGAAGGTCTGTTGTTTGCCTGTATTTCCTCCGGTGATGTGTTGTGTTGCTGTGAGGTTGAGCAAATTCTTTTCGTCTTTGCTATCCGCTTGTGCGGAATATTTTATTATTTATTTATTATTTTGTTTTAGAACCGTGGTTTTTTGAAGTTTCTAAGCAAAGTTTCCTGTCCTCCCAGCAGCTCAGAGCAGGCTGACACCCAATCCAAACTGCCACTGCCTGCTTTCAGGGCAGGAATTATTTCATAAACAGCTCAACCTTTCCCAGGACATTTTTCCCTTCGTGTTCTCACTGGTTGTACTGGCTGCTCCAGAGAACTCTGTAATGCTCTCCAGGCTCCCCCTGAATTGGTAAAAACCATTCACAGGGGTTTTCCATGCTCCTGTGTGCTCAGTTTAATGGGCAAACAGAAGGGCAGAGAGAGGGCTTAGTTTAAGTCTTTGAAGAGCTACCTGCAGCTGTAATGGTTATCCCACATGTCCCTTATAATTCCCAGGAGCCAACGGTTTCTGTCCATTCCTGGCTGAGAGTGTTGCCCTGGAAAATTCTAACACTTTGCAGAGAGGGATTAATTCCGTGTTTATATTTCGTGCCGGGCTGGAATATTCTGAATTGTGGAGCTCACCTGTGTTTTCTGTGGGGGATATTTGAAACTTAAAATGTATTAATAGTTAAAGGGAGCGTGCCGTGGGCTGTCTGCAGATACCAGGGGTCATGTTAGGAGAGAGCACGAGGACTGACTACAGCTGAGAGGCAGAGGGAGGAATTCAGTCTGGGGGAGGTCCTGCGATCCCACTCCACACCTAAAGCATCTCCCTGAAAGGTTTTCTGATCTTTGGTCAAGCACAGTGGCAGTCAGGACTCCAGGATTAAAATCCGTTGCTTCAAAAACTTCGCTTGTTCCCTCCTGAGGATGTTTTTTATATTTGTGTTGCGACCCCCTTAAATCTGTCCTTGGGTGGTTGGTTTTCTCAGTTCCCTCTGGATCTTCAGTCCTTCAGACAGGATGGGAAATAAAAGCCTGGATCACTTCGTGCGGGACTTTCACTTGAGATGCGAGAGGGGAGAATCTCAACTTCCCTAAACAGTTCAATGGTTTTCTGGTTCGTGCTGCATTTGGATGCACAAGGATGCCCAGTTTGGAGGCATGGCTGCTCCTTGGGACTCCTTCCCCATCCTGTAGCTGTTGATTGAACTGCTTGTTATCAGTCTCCCCTTCTGTGAAACAGGGGTGCCAGGGTTCACTCAGCTCTCCCAAAACACTTTCTGTTTTACTGATGTAAAATCATAATTGTGCTAGAAGTGCTTTTTCTTCATAAAGGCAAACCAGTGGAAAGTCCTCACTGGATTCCCTCCGGGATGTGGTGGAGTCCAGAGGCTCATGGGTGGGGTTTGACGTCCCTTACCAAGTCAGCTGTGGTGCAGTTATTTTCTGAACTCTTGCTTTAACTTTCTTTCACGCCCATACACTTAAGAGACATCAGGCTGCTGTTGAGACGCTGGCTGGAAATAGCTCTGCAGGCGGGGTGAGATCCTTGACAGCCATTCTAATGAGATGGAAATGTGTCCCACTTGGCAGTGCTCAGGTTAGAGCTGAAACTCACCTTTCTTGCCTTGCCTTTTGGGGATGTGGCTGACTTCTGTTCCAGCCCATCCAGTGGTGATCCTGGCCTGTTGCTCACTTGGCTCGTGCACGTGCTCGGGAAGAAAAACATCCTGCGAATGCTGGAAGTTGCCCTGCAATTGCTTTAAGTAAACCTGAGTTGGGGTCTTCTGCAATGGAGGGAGGCACTGAGGCATCAGAAATGCTCTACAGACACATCTATGAGCTTGTGTGTGGATTAAAATAAACCTGGTTACGAGAATGTTGGTGTGTGCCAGGACCTTACCTTGACCAAGAGCCCTACTTAGGAGAGTGGGTAGGGTTTTGCATATTAAGGAATGTGTTTGTACCTCTGTATACCCAACCATCTTTCCTGATTATTTCTCCATCATATGTTGAACAAACTGCTTATTCCATCCAATTGAGTTTGCTTTCCTGGTATTTCTCACTTCTGGAGAAGAGCTCTGTATAAAGTTGATATTTCAGGTGGTTGGCTTGTTCTCTCTGAGGAAAGAGTTACACAGAATTTACACCTTTTGTGCTAATACAGCATCAGAGGAAATACCTTCCTGACTAGTGCTCAGATCATGCCCTGAAACAGAAGAATCAGTGGTCTGTACTAGCCATTAGTAACTTAAAATACTCAAACCCAACTAATTTAAGTGCCAATGAACGAAGTAGTCAGAGTGCAGTTGCTCCTAACAGTCCTGCCACTATAGTGTTGGAGAATGAGGTGGTGGCTAAATATAAACCCAGCTTTTTGACTTCCTCCTTGTTACCACTGTGTCCTTCTTGGCTTCACTCCACTTCTTTTTTTTTATTTTTTTTTTCATTTTTTTTTTAATAGTAGTTGATCAAATCTGGATTATGAGATTTGTGTTAAAAAGGAAAACAGGATCCTTACCCAAGGCCCTGAGGGCTTGTACCACAAATTACACAAACAGTGTTGGGTTGTTCTCAAAGCACCTCATATGTTATCTTTGGTTTTGCACTGGTTGATTTTTTTTTTACTCTTAGATCATTCCTGACTCCTTTTGTGTCTTTTAGGTGATCTTTCAGTTCCTCCCACTGCTTTACTTCTCTTTAAAAATCACCTCATGATTCTTCCTCCTTTGGCTCCCTCTGTTTTTACGTACTGAGTTTGGAAACTTTGGCAAAGATCCCCTAATTAAAAAGCCAAAAACCAATGAGAAAGTTTAGGGGAAACCATTCTTCAGGGCAATTCCCAGTGTGATAAGTTCAGAGTTCTCTAATTCCTCTTTTTTTTTTTTTTTTTTAAGGTCCTTTTTATCTTGGTTTTTTTTTTTTTTTTTTGACTAATAGATGCACAAGGGCAGAGTCTTTTGCTTAGGTTTCTTTTGTGACTTTAAAGTTGAAGCTTGGAATCTTTGGGAGTTAATGTCACTTGGGCAGGTGTCATGTGGGCCACAGGCACTGGGATTTTTTTCAGGTTGTTTTTAATCTTCACTGCTAGAGTAGCAGATCTATCTGTAACTAGATTCTTATATTTTATTTTTTTTTTTTTTATTTTAGCAGACTTCTCAGAGCTGGTTCCCTGTAAAGCACTTGCTTTTTAAGCCCTGGGTAGCTCTGCCATGTTCCTTTTTGTGTTCTGCAAAGTGTGTGGTGTGGGTAGGGTTGGATCTGTCCTTGGTGCAACGAGATGAGAGAGAATGGACATCAAAAATAGGGGAATGACATGAGAAAGTGTTGCTGTGCTGTGATGGAGAAGGGATGGACAGGCAGGCACGTGGACAGCGCTGGAAGTTATGGGGAAATGGATAAGGGGAATGCAAAGTGCAGTGGAAATATCCCTGCAAGCAAGCAGCTGGAACTAGAAACACCCACCTGTGCCCTGTGGGAAAGGTGCATCCTGCCATATTAGCAAGTTGTTACCCGTTGGAATATTGTATTTCAGGCTGCACAGCTTTTAGAGGCATGGAAGATGAAACTTCTTTCTGCATTCTATTGGGTATTTTCATCTTTGTGGGGTTTCTTCTTTCAAAGCTTGTACGTGTTTGTAAGAGGGGCAAAGTGCTTTCCTTGTTACCTTGGTGGATGCTCTGTAACATGAAAGGTCATGCTGGCTTCTGAATGCTGTGTTTGGGTGGGAATAAAACTCAAATCTCTTACTTTTGTATAACGTGGGCACATAATATTTTTCTGTAACCTTAGGCAAATATTTTGGTTTTGGAGGGGAATCCCTGTAACCATGAGGTGAGATTAATACTAACCCCATTTCAAGTGTGTGGGTGGCAGGGGTCACAGAAACATTAACTGAAACTTTGATGTCAACTGAGACAGTGTTAAAATGGTTTGAAATCATTACAAAAAGTACCAGTTTTGTGGAGTGACTTTTTCAAAGCACTTCTGCCCGGAAGCATCGTCAGAAGTTGTTAATAATCTTCAAATTGGTCTGTTAAGCTCTTTCTTTAAGTTAACACAAGGGCTAAATCATCTTCCCTCTATGCTTAATTATGGAAATACTTCAGAATATTTCTTGTTGAAATGGCAAACAGTGCTGTAAATGGGCAGTTATTTTAACTGCTGCTTGTAATTATGTGACACCGAAGGGCTTTGTATCGAGTTAAAGTTTGGATTCTAATTTTTGCCTCCTGTTCTTTCCATTCCCAAACACAGGACATCTGATGAACCTTTTGGAGCTTGTTACCAGAGAGCATTCTCCTCTCTTCACTGAAACATGCACTGCCCAGCTGGGAAACATCGCCACATTTATTTTTGCTAACAGGAAACACTTCTAAATATCGGTAAGTTCTCAGCATTTAAAGATATTTTTGTCACGTGGTGTGGGAAAGAGAAAGAGGAGCTGGAGATAACACTGTCATGGGGGCTGACAGTTCTTTATAAAACTTGGCTTTACATTGCTAACAAGGGCTCATTTAGAATTCTTAGCCAACTGCAAAAGTTGGAAGAAACACCTCTGGCTGTTCCTCTGCTCCCTCCCTGTGGCAGAGGTGCCTCCACTAATCGTGGCCACTCAGTTCTCATCTGTTTGATCAGAAGAGGAAAACAGGTGCAGAGAAAGCAGTGCTCAAAGCCAGAGAAAAACTGCAGAGCAGTGCAAAACAGTGTGGGCTCAGCCTTGCCATTCTTACCAGTCTGTTCTGGCTCCTGTTGTGCCCTGGGACAGAGGTGTAAATGAGAGTTTTAACAGTAACAGCCCCAAGTCTAGGTGAAAATACATATTCCCGTTACCTTTTGCTAACAGATTAATTTCCCAAGTGTCTGGGTTGGTCTGGCTCCCTCACTGCCCCACTTTATTTTTCCTTAACTGTCTAAATAACAGGACTAAAAAGAGCTGGCCAAAACAATTGCTATGGAGAAGCAATCAGAATTTAGAGAAAGGCAAGACTTGGCCGTCCGAAATAGAAATTGAGAACAAAGTCACTGGTGTTTGCTTCAATTGGGTCATATTTGTTTTCAGGATTTTCAGTTCTGTTTGCCATAAGAATGCTTGGATTTTCCTCATTGCTTCATTTATCAGATATTTTATTTCGCCTTCTGTAATGGCATTAGTTTGTGTTGGAAAAGCTTTCCTAATTTTTACCTTCTGATGTTTTTCTTTCACAATCTGTTACTACAGAAGGTCAGTTTTGAAATCAGCAGTATTGATTTATAGCTTATTTTCATTAAGAGAGCTAATCTGATGTGGAAGACGTTTGAAATGCAGAGATCAAAAAAGTCTTTGTCATGGCCATCAGCATAAACCTTTAAATAAAACATACTCAGAAGTTTAGGTTGGAAGTTAAACGTTGCCTGTATGTGCTACCCTGAGGAAAATAAAGTTTGTTTTGTACAAGAAAAATAGGTGTACAAGAGGATGGTCTCTAGTGGATGTGTCCTCACAGACAAAAACCTTGGTGCAGATAAAGTATTCCTACCCCTTGTAGCTTGTAACCATAAACAGCATTTACCTGAGAAGCCTCTCTGTGAATGTACCTTTCACATATACTGAAGTACCTGTATTTTACACAGAACTTCAAATACCTTGGGATGGTTTGGTCTCTTGTCCCAGGATGGTGTCATCCTACTGGTTCAAGAAACTAAACATTTCAAGAGGAAATTCTCCTGATTATTCCATTGCAAACTTCTTTCAGGAGCTGTAGTGGTAGCTTTTTAACCTCAGTATTTCATAGGTCAGATAAGGTGAGTCTCTTTAAAAGAGTCATTTAAGTGAGAATGTTTTGAAAAGCTCCCAAACAGGAAACCCCGTTGTTCAAGGATCCGTTTGAAGTTTTAGTAGCTAAAATTAGACTTTTTTGTTCCCATACGTTTAAGAAATAACTCTTGCTTATAATGTTACTAATTGGTAGCCAGGCTTTAATTACCTGCAGTGCATTGAAATGCTCGGAGTTAACTTTTCTGGGGTTCGCGAAGTCATAAATAGGGATGTTCTAACTGTGAGTTTGGAGGGAAAGGGCTTCAAAATGTCTCACTGTTCAGTAATCTCGTAGTTTAATGCCAATAATTTCCTCTGGTTTTGCTTTTTTTGTCGTAGTTCTGTCTTTCTCCTACAAGAGTTCACGCCAGTGCTGTCGGAAGGTCACGGAACAGGGCACTACCTGTGCTGCCCTGGGGCTGTTGATGTCCTCAGCTGTTGTAGGAGAAACACTAGACCTGGAACCCAGTCTGTTACTGGTAAGAAGTAATTGCCTTGGATTTCATTTATTCGTTTAATATTACGGTTCCTGTGTTTTCTCTAACAAAATCAGTAAATATCTCTTCACTGCTTTTTACTTTTAAGAACGCTATAGCAAAATATGCATCTATGATCTTACCTGCCCCCCCCCCCAATATTTTTAACTTCACACTTTCTAAGTTTCTAATTTCCCTCCATCCAAAATACGGAGGATAACAGTTTTCATTTGAATCTCCTTTTCAGTCCTGGTTTTTCTCTTGAAATTCTTCATGCACTGTCAGAGCTAATGGAGGTTAATAAATGGATTTTATTTCAATACCTGCAGAAACCCTGTGTCGTGGTTGCATTTTTGTGGTGCCAGCTCCTGCACAGGCTGGCCCTGTGACTTCAGGTGGATGGTTTGACAGATCAAAGGCCACAGCCAAGTCTCTGGTTTGATGTTTTGGAGTAGAGGGTGACATGTTTAATGGTGGCTCCCTGTTATTTTAAGCTGTGCTATTGGAGTTAGATTTTGCTTGTGGTTTGTGTTTGGACTGTGCTTTAATGAAATACCAGAAGTGTGTGGTATTCTGTGCTGGTGTTTGAACTTTGCTTTTGGGCTTTCTGGATTGTATCTGTGCAAGAGATTCTAAACAGAGGTGTTGTTTTAATGCTCTGGATGATGGGGTAGTGTTGGCTTGAAGTTGGAAAAATTTTAGTGAATCCTCATCAGACTGATGTTAATTAAATAATACATGTACACTGACAATTGAGTGGGCTGGTTCAAATTTCATAATAGAGATTGAATTAGTGTTTTCCTTCAAGTTTACTGAAAACCATTTGCTTCCCAAATTCTTGCCTTTTCTGTACTTCTGTAGTATTTCTCAAGCTGAATGGTGAAACCTTTGTCTTTTTTTTCCCCTTCCTGTGACTCCTAACCCAAAAGGCTGAATGTGCACTGTTGGGGCTCTAATTAAACGTTCTCATCCCCTGCCATCAGGGAAAAGTGGTAGCTGTTGTTTGCATGAAACCCTGAGCTGTGAGTAACCTCTCTGGCCCAAGGGTCTGTTTTGGTCTGTTTACAAACATCTGCCTGTTTCTCTTTGAGTTCAGAGTTGTGGTTGGAATGACCAACTTAAGCAAGGGGTGATTGGTTTCGGGAATGGGAACAGGGCACAAGAGTTGCTTTTTTGGCAGCTCTTCGTTTTCATGAGATGTTACTTACATCTCCTTTGAACAAAGCTGAACATAGGAGTATAATTTGGGGTTACCTGGTGTCAAGAAATGAGAACTCCTCTGGAATTGTGTGCTTCCTCCAACTCACTGGTGAGAAAACTCTGCACTTGTGGAGATTCGTGCTTGTAAAACTCAGGAGCGGTGCCTTTGCAGGCGGTGACCATCCATTAACACCCTGAGTCTTATTTTCCTCTCATTTACCAGAATTAGTGGTAGGTACTGTCCTCTGCAGTTGCTAAGGTTACCTTGAGGGGTTTTGTTCCCGTTCTTTTCAGCAGGGGGGCACATGGAGAGGAGGAATCCCCTGCGTTTCTGTTGTCTTTAATTGGATAAAAGTGAAACTTCCATGCACTCTGTGTCTTGTTGTGCAAGGAAGCATTTCAGGCCCAATCTCACCTTACAGAGCTCCTTTGCAGAGGAATTTAAAAAATGTTGGAATGTCTTGGGAGTGGATGCAGGGACAGGACACAGGGGAAGCAGAGAAGTGGGGTGTGTTTGTTGGGTTTTTTTGCACAAAATAAACCACTGGAGTGAATTTGAGTTCTTCCTTAATCTGTTTTTACTTTTCTCTGAAGGGAGAGAGGGGGGAGGAAACAACACATTTTTGGTTAAATTCCAGTTGGCATGTTTTCTCCAGGGAGCAGAGTGGTGGAGGAGTGCCCTAGTGAGTATTTTGGTACTCTGTAACTTGGGTCCTTGGTTTTAAGTGTGGAAACATGTTTAGAAAATTGTAACGGATGAAGTGTGGTGTAGTTTAAATCTTCAGCTCACTTATACTCTGAGAGAGGAAAAAGTAAACAAATAAACAAATCCTAACAGCAGCAACCCCCCCAAAAAAAAAAACTCTCCAGGCTTTTTTTTTTTTCCCCACCTGTTTTCTTTCTGAGTGAAGGAAGTTTATTTTTGGCCCCACTGTTGCCCAGGGGACTGCTCTGTGGAGGACTTTGTGTGTGCTTCCTTTCTTGTCTGTGACTTTTTGTCAAAATTCGAGTAATACCCTGAGATTTCGATGCAACAAATTTGTACCCCTTAATTTTACTGGTGTTAATGTTTTGGTCAGGAGACTTATTCTGATTATGCTGAGAGGTATGGCCTTGTAAGTAGTGCTGGTTACTTCTCTTAAAGCCTTCCCAAAGGGTAGTGAAATCTGTGTCTATTTAGACTCAGGTGATAGTTTCATGTTTAAATAACTGTACTGACAGTACAAAATAAGGCACTTTCATAAGATGATCTCTTTGTAGAACTAGGTTCACTCCAGCTGGAGTTAAAGATTATATAAATTATTAACAGCTTATTTAAGGACAGCTTTTTTGACGTGAAAAATAAAAGGTAGGCCTGTATCCTGACAGAAATTTCATGGAAGTGGCTCTTAAATCTGTTCACCCTGTGTTCCTTTTGCTGTTACGTGCCAGGGTTTGTTTAGGCACAATGTTTCTGTTGTTGTGTTTGGAAAAGCAGTAGACTTGAATTACTGTGCTGTCTATGCATTGGCTTATGAAGAAAGACTGATGTGCTACAGTTTATTTTGTGGAAAATCTTCAGATGAGCTCTCATGGTTCGTTGGCTTCCTGGAGAGGTGTGTTGTGGCCATGTGCTGGCATGGCAGGAGCAGCCCTAAAGAACTCCAGTAGGTGCTCAACTTGGAAATCCTTCAACGTAGTAAAAAGACCTGAGATAAACCAAAAAAAATACATCATTGATCTTCAAGGTCTCTTGCTAAGAAAGCTCCACAGCTTATTCCATCCTTGCTGTGCTTCCACTGGAAATTTGAAGGGTACAGCTTTCCTGAAGAAATCTTTCCACAACATTTTTTTAAGTGGAGATAAATATCATTACCAGGAAAAGGGAAAAAAAAAACCCTAAACCAGCAACAAACCACAAAACAGCATGTAAAATTGGAACACAAGAGCACAGGGTTTTAAAGCTTCCTGAATTTTTAACTACTAGCAAATTGCCTTAAATTTAACTTGGATTAATTCCCTAGTGATCCTTGACATTAAATGGATGTTCTGGTTTGACATGGGTAGACAGAAAACTAATTAATTCCTCTGAATTTGAGGCATATTTAATTTTCTCCCCCAAAGACCTCTCATTTAGAAGGTACAATGCCTGTGACAGATGCTGAACGTGGAGCGATGTGTGCGAGGTGGCAGACCTTCCATCAGAGGAAGATCAAGACATCTACAAGAATAATTCCTGACTTGGAAAATGTTAAACTTTATTGATTGCACCAAACGTGGGAGACTCCACATCATCACTTGCTTACTTGAAGGCGCTGGAATGTGCCCACCTCACTGGCCAGTGGGGAATCTTGCATAGATTTGTTGTGTGTTTGGTAAAATTTCCCTGATATTTTTTCTCTGGCTTTGTCTCCTGCTTCCTAAAGAGATGAGCAAGTGCTTCATCCATAAGTAGCACTAAATTAGTCAATCCCTGAACCTCAAGCTGGCCCAGTCTAAACCAAAGGTAGCAAGAGACAAATATTTTAAAATCTGTGTTTCTGCCATGGGCAGCTTTAAAAAAGGACAAGGTGTATCTGAAGTGGACTGTTATCAATGAGGGGGGACGTAACCCACTGCACTAAGCTCAATAAATGTATGAAATAGCAAAGAAATAAAATCTCAAGGAATTTATATAATTTCCAGGTGAAGAACATTGAAGAAGAAAAGGTGTTATTGCATAAATTCACCAGAGCAGGTGGAGACATTGACAAATACTCCTGATGCTGTTCTGTATGAAATTGAGGAAGAGAAAATTATCCTTGCAGGAGATTGCCCCCCCCCCCCCCCCACACACACACACAGATCCAGGGAGTTGCTGTTTTGGAATATGGATTTTGATATCCATGAAGGTACAGCAAAAGGAAATTCCATGTCCAAAATATTCCGATGGCTTCCTGATTGTATCCTGTGAGGTTTTCTTGCGTCTCCCTCTGAGTCGTGTGGATATGGCAGCTGTTGGAGACAGGACTGATGATGGACAATTCACTTCATCCTATGTGGCAATTCATATTTCCTGAGGGGACAAAGCTGACTCTTCAACTCCTAAAAGTAGATGCAGTAGTGGTTTCTGGAATAAAGACAAAACTGAGCTGTCATTGTGCCTTACGAGGCGATTCTCTCCAACACAGAGATGTTGGGAAGCTGTGGCAGCCACTTCCAGAGCCTGGGTTGGAGAACTGCTGTGCTGGCTGGTGCCATCACAACCTTTTCAGGCCAAGCACCTGAAAAATCCTTTTTTTTTTTTTTTTCCTCCCTGGTTCTGATTCTCTGTTTGAATTTCATTGATTTATTTCAGTTGTTTGAGATGGGGATGGAGTCTGTGTGAGGATTTGGTTTGAGGTCTCCAGGCGGATTTCTGTGGTAAATAGGTGTTGCTCAGTGTACAGCTGTAGTGTTATTGACCTCTTCCAGTTCAAATAAATAAATTTAAAAAAAAAAATTTGGTTTCTCTATGCATTCCGTGCTTAATTCTGCAGAAAAAGCTGCACTGCTTTGAATTTGGCGAACACCAGTTGAGGCTCTTTGTGTTGCAGGAAGATGGTCCTTCTTCTCTCGAGGGAAGCAAATGCTTCTGAGTGATCAGGGACCAGCTGGTCATGCAAATCAGCATTTCCAAGGCTGCAGAGAGGCAGCTCCATCCTTGCAGAGCTGGGGAAGCTTGGAGCAGTCTTGCATAACTTGAACTTTTGAGTCGTCAGGTGACTCTCTCGAAGGTCACATCTCACGTATGTTCTGTGGGCTGGGAGGTGCTTTTCTGGCCAGCAGTGTTGACTAAACTGCAGCTGGTTTGCTCCTGCTGATGATAATCGTAGCGCAGGGTAGGGAAAGAGGGCAGGGGGCTTGTGAGTCTGCGTTCCACAGTACAGGAACCACACTTGCACGTGTCAGGATACTTCCTTAATCACGGCTGCCCTAGAATTGTGAGCCAATTCGAGCAGATGGGACTGAGTTTGTGTGTGAACTCGCTGGATGTTAGGAAGGTGCTCCAGGCTCTCATCAGCCTCCTTAATGCCAGTGTTGATATTGAACCATGTCTGCTTCAAGACTGCAAGACCTCAGAGATTTCAGTTTTATAAGTAACAACCAGTAGCCTAAATCCAGGCTTCTGGATGTGTGTGCCTGCCCATAATAACATTTGGAGCTGGGTCCAATTTTACAGTTGTGTGTTGACATGTGGACCCTCATATCGATTCTACAGCTGAAACTTCTTGCGTTGGAACAAATTTAAGTTTTTGAGAGAAAGGGGCAAGATATCCTTCGCCTCGATGCTCTTAATTAGTTGGGCCATTAAACCACTGTGACACGGTATATAAATCCAGATAATAATTTCCAAAAAAGTGATGTAAGATAGAGGAAGTGGCAGAGTTGAATGCCAAGGAATTTGTAAAGCTGTGGCAGCAAAGGCAAGTGTGGAGTTGCAAAGGTAATAACTGGGTAACATTTAGTCTGAAAATTCTAATTACTGTATATATATCCACATTACTGTATATTTATCCACATTTAGGACCTTTATTTCTGTTTTGGGGTGTAAGAGGATAATTTGGAGCATAACTCACAAGATGCGTTGCTGCTGGCACTAATGCCTTTATTTTCTGATAATACTGCCAAATTTTATGAAAGGTGATCAAAGGCCCTGTGAATTTTTCTCAGCTTTGTTCTGTTGGTCCTTTCTTTAGGGGATCATGAGAATTTCTCTACCCAATATCTGAGGTTGACTGTGGGGTAAACTTGGAGATGTAAAGCCAAGGAGATAGCATGTTTGTTACAAAGTAAAAAATCTTTTGCTTGTAAGTAGTTAAGCTTCAAATAACATTAATTTCATACTTGTGATGTATTGCCAGTTAAGTTTGGATGGGGACTTAAAATTTAGTGATCTGTGGTCTTGGATTTTCCTGACTTTTAACCCACACTTATAGCCCTTCCACAGAAATTTAAAGAGGGGAAATGCTGGTTTCAGTTGGCTTTTGCTGTGTGAGGATTTCAGCTACTCAGGGTACTACACACCGTGCTTGTTCCCTCGAGGAAATTGTGCTCTTCAACAGTCTTGCCTCCATCAGTGTGGTTTCAAGTGCAGCACCTGTTTCAAACCCAGATTTTGCCAAACTCAGAGTAAAAACTGACAGCTGGTGTACCCTGGTAGCTTCAGGTTCCCTTAAGAGCCTGTAGTAATTTAAAGAAATATTTATCTGGGATGTTATGAGCCACAGGAGGATTGGCTTCAGATCTAGTTCTTCTTAACGTAAATTGCTTGAAGTCTGGTCAAAGGGAGCTGCATCATGTCAGTGAGTGTGCAGTTGTAGGCAGTAGCTGTGTTTGTGACATTCTTTCCCGATGAACCTGTTGCTTTATTTGGCACAGCCCGGGGTTTGCCTCAGCCTTCGGAAAACGCGTCTGCGAGCTCCTCTCGGCTTTTTTGTAATGCTGTCATTTCCTTCCCCGCTGCAGGACCTGTGGAAGAGGAAGCATAAAGATTTCCAGATGAATAACCGAAAGGAAGACATGGAGATTGCTTCCCACTACCGTCACCTGCTGCGGGAGCTGAACGAGCAGCGGCAGCACGGCATCCTCTGCGATGTCTGCATCATCGTGGAGGGCAAGATCTTCAAGGCTCACAAAAACGTCCTCCTGGGCAGCAGCCGCTACTTCAAGACTCTCTACTGCCAGGTGCAGAAAACCTCGGACCAGGCCACGGTCACCCACCTGGACATCGTCACCGCGCAGGGCTTCAAGGCGATCATCGACTTCATGTACTCGGCGCACCTGGCGCTCACCAGCCGGAACGTCATCGAGGTGATGTCGGCCGCCAGCTACCTGCAGATGACGGACATCGTGCAGGCCTGTCACAACTTCATCAAGGCGGCCCTGGACATCAGCATAAAGTCTGACGCCTCGGAGGACCTCGTTGATTACGAGCTGGGAGCCCCTTCCAGCAGCAGCACGGACGCGTTGATTTCGGCGGTGGTGGCTGGCAGGAGCATATCCCCGTGGCTGGCCCGGAGAACCAGCCCGGCAAACTCCTCTGGGGACTCGGCTATTGCCAGCTGCCACGAGGGAGGGAGTAGTTACGGCAAGGAGGATCAAGAACCAAAAGCGGACAGCCACGAGGACGTTTCGTCCCAGTCTCTCTGGGCCAGTGACATGGGCTATGGGTCTTTACGGATCAAAGAGGAACAGGTTTCACCCTCGCATTACGGAGGGGGGGAGCTTCACTCTGCCAAGGATAGTGCAATACAGAGCGGGTTCTCGGAGCAAGGCGTGGGGGATGGCTGGCAGCCCACGGGGCGCAGGAAGAACAGGAAGAACAAAGAGACTGTGCGGCACATCACGCAGCAAGTGGAGGACGACAGCAGGGCAAGCTCCCCGGTGCTGCCTTTCTCACCTGCCTCGGGATGGCCCTACAGCAGTCGAGACCCAAGTAAGTCGTTCCTCCAGGTTTTGGGGCTGAAATTAAAAGCGTCGAGTTAATTAGATCTGTTTACGGTACGATCTTATCAGTCTCTGAATTACGAGCCTGACGGTAGAAACTTGTGCTGCCAGCAATTCAGAAGCACCGAGTGCTGCACGGTTCAGTCAGGAGCCTCGGTGTCAGAGGCTGGTTCTCCTCTGAAACCAGAAGTTTGGTTTTGTTTTGGGCTTGAACGGCCTAAATCGCCCCCAAAACACCTCCATGATTGCTGGAATTAGCGAGAGGAAAGGTTGGAATTTATTTTAGCAGGTGTGCAAACTGATGTCAGGGTTGAGGAATTTTCCTTGCACACTCTGTTGATGATGTAATTACACCACACACAGGTGTAATTTAGTCCTGCCGATACCATCTCCAGAACTTCCTGATGTGCAGGTGTCACTTTCTCTTGGGTAAGAAAACCACCAGAGCTCATTGCTGGTAATGGCAGGGTCAGTGTTTGGTAACTGTGAAGAATAATGTGTTTTTTCTGAGGCACTGCTATGGCTTCAGATGTATTTTGATGTGTGACTGCTTGTGGTCTGAGATCAGTGGCTGCTCCTAAAGTGTGTAGCCAGTGAGAAAAATGATTTCTTGACTTCCTTTGAATCTTCAGCAGTTACTTTTCTGTCTCGTGATAACTGCCCTACTTGATTCCTTGATCAGTGGCAATTAATGATCCCAAAATGCTACTGAACCAGGAGTTTGGTGGTTTTTCCTGAGGACTTCAGGGAAATGTGGGATTAAACTCACCCAAGTTGATTTGGAGAACTTAGCCCATGCTGTGAGTTAGCCTGTGTTTCATTGGATACCAGAACCCAAGTCAGCCAGGAGAAGGGTGTGTGAGATTATAGACTTTTATGTTGCCAAATTTGGATTAAAAAAGCAATATAAAGAGTACTGAAAGTCTTTAAGAGTCTTTATGGGCTGAAAAAGGAGGTTTAAGGTGCTTACATTCTGGAGCTTAAATGTGGTTTTCATTGAACGGGTAACTCTCTACAAATGTCTTGAGATTTATTGTGTTTTACGGTTATCTGCTGCAGCAAGCTTGCATGTAATTATTCTAATTAGCTGATGATAAAATCTAAACAACGTCAGTTAGAAGAAAAATGCAAGATAATTTAAGATAACAGTGATTTATGATGAATCTTGTTTTTATAATGCATGCGTTTCAGGCTTGTTTTGAGTTAAGACTCGGCCTGGATTGCCTGGTGTGCTGTTCTCATGCGACTGTTTTTCATTTTCCATGGCATCCCATAAAAACAACTCAATCAGTTGTGCTGTCTGAGGGGTGTGGGCTTGGACAGTACCTGGAATGAACCAGGCATGGAGTGACTGCAGAAACAGAACTGCAGCTCTGATCCTCCTGGAAAACTGGGTTCAGATTGGACATCTTGACTGAAAACAGTGCAAAAGAGAAGACACTGTATTACTGGAAGCTGAATGAAGCGTGGATTATTTAATTCCTAATTGTTAAGGAATTAAATTGCAGTGGCTGTGTGCAGATGAGAGGAAGATGGCTCAGGGGCTTGACTCAGCACAGTGCTGAGACAGCACTGTCAGCAGGCACATCAAATTAGTTGTTCCAAAGCTTGGCTCAAATGCGGTTTCCAATAAAAGAGGTGGTTCCGGTGGTGGGAAGGGGGAAGCTGAGTGATGGTGGGTGGGGGAAGATGTCAATATTCCACTAGTGCTGGTGAAACAAAAGGAAAAAATGGATGGCAACACTTCCGTGTGTCCAAAACGAACAAGCACAGGGGCTGCTGCTCCAAGAGCAGCGTGTGCTGAGTGTCCACGAGGAGCGAGGAGTGCGTGTGGAGACTGAGCTCGTGTGTGTTCCCCGTATTGGCCGTGTGGAGAGGTGAATGGAAATGAAGTTCTCCTTCCTGCCCTGCTGGAGAAGGAGGTTTCTCTGCACTGTGGGGCCTAAAATTGTGGGAAGGGTGCGTGTGGGCTTAGCAGCAGGGATTGCCTCTGCGAGCCCTGCGTGCGCCCTGGGTCAAAGTGTCTTGTCTCTGGGGGATTTTTTTTTTTCTATAATTTCAAAGGATTGGAGATGCAAATGTTCAGTTTTGGTTAACCTTGGACACCTTGCCAGCAGCCTCTCGTGTGGTAGGCGTGTGGTTTGGGTGAAATCAGTTGGTCACTGAGGTGAGACTGCAGCTCTTTCAGTGAGAAGTGAGAGTGCTCCTCCTCCCCCAAGCCAGCCCCATCTGGGGCCCTGCAAGCAGCAGAGTCTTGTGGTTATTTCCCATATCCAGCAGGTGGAAGCAACTTTTCCGGCAAACTGCTCCATCTCCCACATTGTCGAGCTACGAGGTTGTGCTTAGGTTGAGTTTTGGTGCCCCAGGGTCTTCCCTCTCCTGTTAGAATTCAGCAGTAGTGTAGGGGTGTTGCAAACTTGACTCCTAAACGTGAAGAATAATTGATTTTCCTTGTGTGCAAATGGATAATGACACGGTGCAGGCACTTCCAACAAGTAATTGGGATGTGTTTAAATTTCAGCTTGAAGTTGTCTTTGATTTAGTCGTGTCAGGTTTCATTCTTTAAAACACACTTCATAGTCTAGGGTTCTTTTTCACCTCATTTATTTAGAAGTGTCCCATTGTTCACAGCTATGATGAAAAGCTACTCATTTGCTAAAGGAAATGGGTGTTGAATGTTCTTTCATAAGTAACTAAGAGGAAAGAAAGTTACCTAGAACTCTTTGTTCTTTGAGGCTCCTTCACTTTTCTGATCTAATCAGTTATTTTAAGATGCTGGTTGCTAAGGCTGAAAGCCCTCATTGTGGGATAATTTGGGTACTGTTTGTGAATGCCTCTGTGCTGGAGGACTAACACAGACCTTCTGGCCATGCAAAAATCGATTTAGGAGGATCCTTCTTCAAAGTTCAGTCCTCCCGAATTTGAGCGAGGTTACATCTCATTTGGTCCTGGTTGCAAACAGCATTGCATTCCAGCAGCATTTTGGAAGGGGAGTCTTGCAAGTAACCACTGCATCACCCTTTGATTATTTGGGGCCAGTACACTTCGCAGACTGAAAGTGCTGCTCCTACTCCTGTACTGTACAGGATTGCTTCCTTCCAGTTGTATTGCAAAGAAGCACATCGCAGTCATTGAAAGTGCTTTTCAAGCAACTCACAACCCATTCACACGCAGCAGCGGTGCTTCTTTCAGTGGGAAACACGTCCTTGTCAATGCAGGCAGGTGTACTAAAGTGTCTCAAATATTTAAGCAGACTGTATTTAGTTACTGATCAATGAGGTCTGAAAAAGACAAAGATTTTTTTTTTTTAATTGAAAGGGTAAAAAAAAATCCTTTGTGAATCAGTTGATTCTTTCCCAGGTGCTGACAGGGTGCTGCTGAGAGTCTTTGAATTTGACAACATTACAGATTAAAATAAAAAGGGAGTGTCTGGAGTAATCGTATTAATGGTAATCAAACATCATGGAAATAGCAAGAGATTGTTCATGTCTGCCATGAAGAGTCTTCTTCATCCAAGAAAAGGATGATCAAATAGGATTTGCAAAAGAATGTAAATGAAGTGGAGTTGCTGGATTGAGAGTGTGACTCAGCTCACAGTTTCCCAGGGTGTTGTCAGTCAAGCACAAAGCTTCATGAGGACCATTTTTTCACGGTAAATTCAATTTATTAGTTTGGATTGTCTGCTTAGCATCAAACACATTAGGTTTTCTCTTTCTTATCCTGTTTGGGTTGTTTAGGATGTCAGCCTGTCATTCCTTGTATGAAACATTCATATATAAGTTTTCCTCACCAAGCCACATTAGCTTGGAAAAGCAATTCTCCAAAGTAAACTGGCTTTTATAAATAATAACTTTTTTTCACAGATGAGCCAAGAAGAATTTCCTCCACAGACTTGCTAAAAGGGCAGGTCTGCCTTTTATTTTATCCCTTTTGAATTTCATAGGTTTTCTGAAGAAACATACTGCTCTTTGTTAGTCTTCATATCAAAGGTGCTTATGAAATTCAAAAGTAGTCCTGTGCCATGAACATCTTCATTTTCCTTAGACTACAGTTCCTTTAACACTGCTGGATAAAGTTTTTGAAGGTTTACTAGAGGATCAGGTGGCGTTTGGAAGGCTCTTGCCAAAGAGGACAGTTATCTTCAGGATGAGAGTTGTTTGGGTAGCAAAATGTTGCTGGATTTGCTTCTTCATGTAATAAAAAACTCTTGTCACTTGGAGGGTGTCTTTTGAAGAATTTATTGATGGCTTTATTAATGTGTTAGCTCAAGCATAGTAATCATGATTCAGGAATTTATTTCTGAGGAAATACTCCCACGCATCTTCTGATTGTTTGCACCCAAAAGCTGCGAGTGGATTTCTGTGTGCCAGTTGACTGCGAAATGAAGCTAATTATTTTAAAACCAGCAAAGTCCTTTTTAAATACTCTGCACACTGGGAACTCTTTGCCTTCCTTTGGTTACATGCAGTGGAATTTCTGTATTCTGTAAGAAGAGCTTCAGGACTTGATTAAGCCCCGAGCAGTGACCTCCACGGCAAGGACGGGCAGGACTCCACCGTGTCCTCCTGACTTTGCAGAGTTCACAGTCCCTTTTAACATTTTTCCCCTCTCAAAAAATCTTTAATTATGCACAGGTTTCCTCCCTCCTGGTGAGGAGACGTTGGAGTTCCTCCTTTTCCAATGACACACACGTGATGGCAGTGCTTGCTGCAGGGAGCTGTGCTGGCAGCTCCCCGGGAAGCCTGGAGACAGCTGCTGTCGTCAGCCTTTCCCCATCCCTTTTCCTGTCTTGGTTTCTAGAGAGCAAATCATGATTACAGGAGCTGCTGGTGAGCACAGATGCTTAACAGTGGGATCATAGAGTGAGCTTACATTTGCAGAAGGCTTCAGAGAGCCCATTGTAGATGAACTCTCAGCTGTTTTGTGCAGGTGAGGTCTCTGGACCTGTCTGAGTGCAGGCAGGTGAATGATTTTATTCTTGAAAATAAA